CCCCCCCCCCCCCACCTCTGACCATGAAGGTTGCACAAAACTACCAGTACGAGCGCTAAAGTCCACCATCAATGTTCACTAAGCCTTGACGGCTTGCCACAACACACGCACGGACAGGATAAATATACATGTATGGCAGCGCACACACCCTCCAGACCCCTCCCACCCACTCACTCATGAGGCCTTCTTCTTCCTCTCTGCCCCAGCCCCCGGTTTGCCCGCGGGCACCAGACAGAGTGGCACCAGGCTCAGCAGCAGCAGGGACACAATCACACTCACGAGAGGATGCACACGATCCCTCACCCACTCGTAAAAAGACCAAGGGCTTCCACGGGGCGTGAGCAGGTGTGGCGGGATGGCGAAGGGCTGCCAGGCTCCGTAGGAGCTCTGGTCACCAGAGGCCAGGGCGTCCCAGAATCCGCAGCGGTGTCTCCGCTTGACCACATCTTGTATCAGATGCATGTTCCTCGGCTCGATCTCAAGCGTCGCCGACCAAGTAGACGGGTCAAACACCTCCCACACGACCCCATTGCCGAGCCGCACCACCTCCTCGCCACGCATGAAGGCCGCAATGCCCTTGAGATAGTCCTCCATCAGCTCCACATGCTCCCTCCCGAAAGTCATCCGCTTGCCGAACCAAGGCATGGCAAATCCCTCCTGGTCGATCTGGCCAAGCGTATAGATCATGTCCACGCCGTGGAACGCCCCAATACCCATCTTTCTGGCCTCGTCAGGCACCACTTCCCACAGCCCCAGCCGCACGGGCCAGCCCCTCGCTGCCAGCTGAGAGGCCAAATAGCGGTTCGGGCACTGGAACATGGCGTCGCCGGCAGCACCGGTGGCCACTGAGAGAACCCCCCGCCGCTTCGCCAGTGCTCGATACTCGGCGTAAACCTTCGCCCCTTTCGTCGGCCCGTAGCTGTGGACGAATATCTCCTTGAGCTGGGCAGAAGTGGCGTTTTTTAGCATATCGGCCGCATCAAGGCCGAAGAGTGTGTACTCGTTGGCACTCGTGGTGATGATGATCGGCTTCCTCTGAAAGAGGCCGAGCTTTGGCGCGTTGAGGAGGTTTGGCAGAGGCACCACACGGCGGTCATAGATGGGCGCGTGCACGGCGGGGTAGCTGTTGAGAGCAGGCGCCTGCCCAGTCGCCATGAGCGTCAGCGGAGGCTGAAAGGCCGTCAGGTTCTGCCATGGGAGAGTTCGAAGGTCATCGAGGCTCTTGGCACCAACGGCGCTGACGAAGGGCTCCCCCCTGCATCTGTAGGCCTCCTCGAGGCTAATGGCGCGATAGCCGATGGGGGCGGAGGAGACAATCGCTGCGCGGAAGAGGCCGGCGCTGGGTCGCCACATGAGGTGGTTTAGAACACTCTGCGCACCTGCCGACACGCCATAAAGCGTTACTCGCGATGGATCACCACCGAAAGCCCCGATGCTTCTCTGAAACGAGGCAAGCAACAAATCAGTCAGTCATGCACCTTGACATCTCCTATCACTCACCTGCACCCATTCGAGCGCTAGCCGCTGGTCCTCAAGCATGATATTGGTGGTTGTGCCCAGCCACGGATGCGCCAATGTACCCAAGACACCCACGCGATAGTTGAAGCCCACAACAATCGCTCCAGTGATCCTCAGGAATGCCTCCCCGGGCGCCCACCACTGCTCCGCCGTCCCCGAGCCGAATGCAAAGCCGCCTCCATGGATAACGACCAACACATGCCGCCTCTCCACTCGCGGTGCCGCCTCATCAGTGGCCGTCAGCTCATGGCCATAAGGCGTCCACACACTCAGCTGCAGACAGTCCTCACTCATGATGACCAAAGCACCACTCTTGTCGGTGGGTTGCGGGCACTTGACTGCCTTGCCGCGGCCGTCATAGGGCTCAGTCCAGCCTGTGTGCGGCTCTGGCAGCTGCCACCGCCGCTCGTGTGTGGGTGGAAGGGCGTAGGGGATGGCCTCGAACAGGAAGATTGGAGGTGCAGACGTGTTGGAAGGAAGAGGGTGGCCAACCACTGGGCCACATGGGGTGGTCACTGTCACGGCTGCTGCCGGTTCTTCAGAAGCTCGAGCCAGAAAAGGGATAAGGGACGCCAGAGCCAAAATAACCTGCCTGAGCATGTTGGCTGAGGGAAAGTCCTCGCTCGACGCTGGATTCGCGCTGGGAGTAAGATGAGGCGCTCGAATGCCGATAATGACTTACGGGGAAAGCCTCACAGGCAGATCGGGGCACACAGAGCGTGCGAGCTCAAATTTCACCGTCGATATCGCCTTCCCGGCATCTTCCGCCTTTGTCTCTTAGTAGGATGCTCTATGACCACACTGAAGAGGGGCTCCTTGCATAAAATCGCCAAACGAATTTGCCAGGCTCGAGAAAAGCAGCAACTCGACCCTCACTCGATCCAATTCGGAAGGTGTCAGGATTGCCAGCTTGGCAAGACGAACCACTGCGAGCTTGTGAGCTAGGGTAGATTGCTGTGTAACGGAGAGAGAGAGGAGAAGACAAGGAAAGACAAGGAAAGCATTCTGAGGAGACACGATCTTATCAGCCATCACCGAAGTGAGATCTGTGTTGACCACCCTTCATGATGCCATACATGGACAGAAACAACTTTGACTGATTGGCCAGTCCATCGGTCTTATTAAAGTAAAAGCACTCTTACTCTAGGACTTACCGCCCAGCAGATCCTCTATTGAGCTAACT